GGTTTCTGACCTGCAGAGCTGACCCTCTCTCCGTAGGGGTCACATCTCACACTGTGGGTGGCCCCTTGCATAGATGACGGTGGAGATAAGAGGAGATGGAGAGATGGCTGACCCAGCTGGTGATTTTTTTCTTTTAATTCCCCCCCCCCCACCCCCAGAATCTTCCTTGGAAAAAAACTCTATTAGCCTGTTCTCATCTCAACTCTGGTAAAATCTGGGAAGGGTGGGGGCAATGGTGACTTCCGGTCACTTTTTTTTCTTGTTAGCTAACTGTGGAGATTCCCACCCTAACCCCAAGACGAACTGGAACAGAGATGTCTCAGCTGCTAGTAGCTCAGCCCAGGTTGTAGGCCAGCCTACCGAGATCCAGGGGCTGGGAGCCCGACGGGGGGGGACCATTCCCAGAGTCAAAGCTGCAGGTGCCCTCTTATGCGCAGTATTGTGAGTGAATGAACCGGGTGCTTACCGCTTTCATACTTGCAGTTGGTCAGGTTGATGGCCAGGGGTCTGGAATGAAGGAACAGTAGGAATCAGGCAGAGTGGGATGAAGGACAGACCCTGGGCTGCCAGGCACCCGGAGGAAGAGACACCCAACACATCTACAGTGCAGTTCGTTTTCTCTAAAAGCCACGGAAGACCAGGATGATAGAGACATGCTAAGTCTGCAAACCAAGCCAGCTCAAATGGTTCTGGATTTTGTGTTTTTCTCGTTCCAGAAGGTTAATGATGTTCCTGTATCCCCTGTCCTCTTTCGCAGATTAAAGGGAAGACCCCGACTGCTGAAGGGAGGCCGGGGGTGACTCTCTTCTGGAGCCAGGCAGGTGGCGGGGGTGGAGGGGGGTGTCATCCAGGGACCCGTTACCTGTGTTTCCGCCTTCTCTTTCTCCTTCTAACTTCTAAGTCATCTGAGTCAGTTGGGGCTATGATTTTCTTTGGAATTTTCTTGGCTACAACAGATAAGGGAACTCCATCCCCAAATTCCTTATAGTCAGCCTTTGGAAGTTCCTGCTGAGAAGAGTTAGAAGGGATGGTAGCTTCCTCTTTAACACACTCCTCCCCAGAGTCCTCTTCTTCAACGTAGTCTTCCTCTGATTCACTGGTCTTACAGGTATCTGGCTCCATCCTCTTAGATTCTGAGGGGAGGGGGTGAGAGTGAAATATATGTCAGAACTTCCTTCCTCCAGGCCGTGCAGGAGTCACAAAAAGCCCCTTCGTGTTATAAGGGAACTTTGCTGCCCCTTCAGAACAGAACAGGACAATCCCAGTGCAGAATGCGATGTGTTCCTAGTAGGTAATGGAGGCTTGGGGTGGGGGTGGGGATGGGGGAAATGCCTGTGAGATGTTGGATTCCCCGACAAGCCCTGATCATCCAAGATCACTACTCCATACAACACATTGGGTTGCAAGTAGAAGCTGGACAGAGCTGGCAGGGATCATGACCATGGCTTTTTTATTTCTGGGAAGGGGGATGGCTGGGCCCTGGAGCGGACCTTCAATTTTAAAATAGAGCTAAAAACCAAAGGTCCCCTAAGCCGGCCCTTTCCCTGTTCCGTGACTCGGTTTCTCCGTGTGTACACACTGGGGCCAGGCCCTCGATGGCTAAGTCCCCTTGGGCTCTGACGGCGGAGCGGGAGCCCCTGGCGGACACCGCGCACCCGGGGTTTCGAGGACAGCGGAGGGGCTGCTGGGTCCACCCCTAGCTGCCCGAGGCTGGACTCAGCTGGTCGCTCATGTCAGCCCTTCGCGCGACACCTGCTCCTTCCCGGGCGTCGCTGGGCCTCCGGGACCGCCTCCTTGCTCCACAGGACTGGCAGCCTCCGCCGATCGCGAGGGGGAGCCCGCTCCCCTCCCACCCCGGGGTTCGCTCCTAGCTGGGAGATCCCGGCGGCGGCGGCGGCGCCTCCTGGAGCTAGCCGGCAGCCGCCGCCGCCGTCGCCATGGACACGGGAGCGGTCCCCATTGGAGCGGCGTTCTGGGGGCGGGGCCTTCCCGGGAACCACACCCATTTGGGCGCCCGCCAAGGCCATCTTGCTCCCCCGCGCTGAAAGCCTGTCGTCGGCGCTGGCGGGGCAGGTGCGGGCCGCCTGCGGCCTCGGGGGGCCCGGCCTCCGCGACCGCCGACGGGGCGCATCGGCTGGGACGTGGAGTCCTTCCGCTTTCGCGCCGATTCACGCGCGCCTCACCCCAGGCTATCTCGAGCCCGCGGGCCGAGCCCGGAGCTTGGTTTAACTCTGTGCTCGGGAAAAGTACCTGCTGGCCTTCCCTGAGCTTTAGTAAGCGTGTGTCGCGCCGTCCCCGCCCTCCGGAGGGGCGGCCGTGCTTAGTGCCCACCCTGGCGGGCTGAGCCAGCTCCGCCCAGTGACAGAACGGCCTCCTCCTCGTAGCGCTCCTTCACTGCTCTTCCTGGCGTCCTCACGCTGACTTCTGCTCGCCACCCCCACCGAACCCAGTCCAACTTGTCACTGTAAGGCTGTCCCGTGTGCCTACATCTGGGGGACACTTCAGTCTCCTTCCCTTAGAGAGACGTGGACATTTTCTGAATGACACATTTCTTGCTGTTCCTTCAGCACAGAATATTCTATTACTCCCTTCTTGAAATGATTTGGAGGCTCTTGGCTTCCAGGACTATCATTTTTTCTCATTCTTTCCAAATATTTAGCGTTCCAGGCACTATTCTAGGACTTGAACGTGTCTTGCCTGAATTGCCACCAGGCAGCACTTTTTTCTTTTCTTTTCGAGAAAGCATCAGAGGAGGGACAGAGAGAGGGAGACACAAATCCCAAACGGCTTCTCACTGCCAGTGCAGAGCCCCATGCGGGGCTCAAACTCATGAACTGAGATCATGACCTGAGGGGGAGATCAAGAATCCATGCTCAACGGACTGACCAACCACGCAGCAACCTCTTAATCGGACTCCCAATTGTTCTCCCCCCGGCCCCCCCCCCCCCCGCCACCCCGCATCCATCCGTTCAGCTTAAGTATTCTTGCTAAAATGCAAATTTGTTACTCCCCAGTTTAAAACTCTTCAAGGTTTCCCATTAGATCAAATCCCCAACCCCTTCATTACACAGGTCATCAAAAAGCAAGCAGAGATGGAAGTCCTGGGCTGGACCATCCCTTCCTATCTATGGTGTGCACAAAGCCCAGGGCGGAGTACAAAGTGGCGCCTAAGTGTTCCACACTTAAGCTGAGAAAAAGCTTCTAAGTCCCTTCCCTGACAATTCATGAACTCCATAAAACAGCTGAGAAGTACCGCCATAAAGAAACCTATTTGACTTTCTCCCCCCTTCTCAAGGAAAAACTTGGTTTGGCCTGAGAAGGCATTCCTCTGAACAGCCGTCCTGGGGGAAAACCCTGGTATTTGGGCGCATCACCTGGGACACAAAATCCACTCTGCGCTAACGGTCATCTGTACTTCCTTCAGACTGGGCAAGCAAAGCAAGGTGGCGCTCTTGGAGTTTGCACAGGCAAAGGCTTGCAGAAAGAAGCACAAGCTAAAATTACGGCAAGGTGCTAAAAAGAGGAAGCCGACCCAAATTCTATAGGAATTTAAATGTTAAACATGTAATATTTAAATTTAAATGTTAAACGGTTCTTTCACAAAATTAAAAAAATATATATTTATTTATTTAGAGACAGTGAGTGAGCAGGGGAGAGGCAGAGAGAGAGGGGGGACAGAGGACCCGAAAGGTGCTCTGTGCTGACAACAGACAGCCCGATGTGTGGCTCAAACTCACGAACTGTGAGGTCATGACCTGAGCTGAAGTCAGATGCTTAACCAACTAGGCCACCCAGGCGCCCCTAAAAAAATTTTTTTTAATGTTTATTTATTTATTTATTTAAAAAAAAAATTTTTTTTTCAACGTTTTATTTATTTTTGGGACAGAGAGAGACAGAGCATGAACGGGGGAGGGGCAGAGAGAGAGGGAGGCACAGAATCGGAAACAGGCTCCAGGCTCTGAGCCATCAGCCCAGAGCCCGACGCGGGGCTCGAACTCACGGACCGCGAGATCGTGACCTGGCTGAAGTCGGACGCTTAACCGACTGCACCACCCAGGCGCCCCATAATGTTTATTTATTTTTGAGAGAGAGAGAGAGAATGAGCAGGGGAGGGAGAGTGGGAGACACAAAATCTGAAGCAGGGTCTAGGCTCCCAGCTGTCGGCACATAGCTCTACGCGGGGCTCAAACTCATGAACTGCGAGATCATGACTTGAGCTGAAGTCAGACGCTTAACTGAGCCCCCTAGGCGCCCCTAAACTGTTCTTCTTACGAACTTTTACTTGTACATATTCTGCCTTATCTCGATGAGACTTTATAACATCTTTTGGGACATAAAACACCTAAAGTTCTACGCAAAAGCTTCATACAGGCCTGAACAGAGGAAGCCAACTATCCAGGGACGTGAACCCCAGCTCAGCGCCTGTCAACTGTTAAGGACGACACCATTAAGGGAGCAGCTGCCTACAGAGGCAGTCACAAGGGCACAACCCGGGCTTCTGGCACCTGACCGCCCGTGCTACAGTCCCCGCTCCACTACTGGAGAGCTATCTGGCCTTGGGCAACTTGGGCAAGTTGCAAAACCCGTCAGCCTCCAGCTCCTCATCTGTTAAGTGTTAAATGGCGGTACTCAAGTTGTGAGGACAACTTACGATGTAGATGAGGAATATTCAACTCAGGGCTGAGGGCTGGAGGAAAATTCAAGGGTGGCCTGGGAGGGGAAGGTGCTGTAAGCAGGGCCGAACAGACGGAGGGATGAAGAAATGATAACCGGTGGGGGGTGGGCGACGGGAGAATAAGCAGAGAGGCGAGAGCAGAGGAAACGGGGGCACAGTGCCAGAGGCACATGAACTATCACTCTGCCAAGACGTGAGCGGAAGGGAAAAGTCCAGATACAAAGTCAGGAGTACGGAACTCTTGCGCATACTCCCTTCTCAGTGACCGGTTTGACATCCCTGAAGCTTGTCCAAGACGGAAGGTGAGAAGCAGATCCATGCACGAAGGCTCATTTGTTCGATCTATTCTAACGTTTCTTCTCTTTAAAGAGGCCACTTGTCAATTCTTTACCCGTCCCCTTAGGCTGAGACAGGTAAGAAGGCAGTCACAGAAATGCCCAAACGACCCCTGTGGACCCTGTGGACGGCTTTCTGGAAAGGGAGTTAGACCGGGTAGAAAATGAATACTTCCGGAAGGATTACTGCTCGTCCTGGGCTATCAAGGCCACTAGCGCTGCCTGGACCTCTTCTGCCTGGGCGGGGGGCAGCAGACAGTCTTGAATGAGGGCCAGAGCAGCCGCCTCTGTCAGACTGCTGAAATCCTGGGACGTCTTGACAGGGAGGTGCCCGGCCAGCTCACAGAGGGCAACATTGAACGCCTCGCCTTCCTTTACCCCAAAACTGGACTTCCGGGCCCACAGAATCACTCGGACCCCCGTGAGAGCCGAGGAGGGTGATGTCTTTCCAGGTGGGGCCCCCCGGGTCACAAACAAATTATGGGCGATCTCGCGGTCAGTCAGATAGTCGGTGGCCCGACATACCCTGCCTATCAAGGCTTCCAAGTCAGGCCCCGGCCCGCTAGTGTAAAAGAGGAAGCCGGGCGCTGGGACGGCCTGGAGGAGGTGCAGATGCCCCCCGGGGTCCAGGGGCTCGCTCGGTGCTCCCTCCACAGGCAGTCTGTGGGCCAGGTAATACCCGTGCAGGTGGAGGTGGTTCACTGAGGCCAAGCCACCCAGGCTGTTGAAGCCGACACGGAAGCCTGGGTGTGAGCTCAGCAGCACAGCCTCGACCCCGGCCCGCAGCGCACCGGGCAGCAGGCGCTGGGGAAGCCCACGGGTGGGCTCGGGCACCAGCAGCACGTGGCCCCACTCCAAGGGGCTGACATTGATCATTACGAGGATGTCCTCTTGCTGGAGAGCGCCTGGCAGATTGGGCTCCCGGAGCAGACGGAAGAGGACTTCTCCTGGCCGGATCTTGTTGAAGTTAAACAGTGCAGGGTCAAACGCCTGCTTCACACTACTGATGCTCTGGGGGCGCCTCCTCTGCGCACCTCGCTCCACGTTCAGCTGAGCCACAAAACCCACGGCACCGGGGAGGGTTTGGGTCTGCAGCTCCCCCAGGCGGTAGCGGAACAGCCCCAGCTCCACCCGCTGCCTCCAGGCAAGGCAGAGCACAGAGTCGAAGCGAGACGGTGGTACGGAGTCCTCCGGGAGGCCGGGCGCGTCCCTCGGCCACCGAATCCCTTCCAGCACCAGCTCCTCCTGCCCGTAGACAAAGTCAGGAATGCCATGCCCTTCCCAGTCCTTACTGTTTGGAGGCAGCAAATAGGAAGTCTCGTGTGAATCGTGTGGAACAGCCATGGGGCTGACCTGTAACAGTCATAAGAGGTGAAAGATACATGATGCTAACCCATCTCCAGAGATTGTATTTTTATTTTCAAAGAAATTTCACTTTTTGTTCTGATTACAAAACTAATAGATGCCTTTGGGAAAAGATGTCGAAAACACGAAATCACTCATGATTCCATCGCCTACACGTTAGCATTCATTTTTGCTGCATTAAAATATACATGTTCTTTTCTAAAAGTTACGTATATTGAATAAACTTTCTCCCTCCCCCCCTTTCTTTATGTTTCTTTTGTTTTTTATTTTTGAGAGAGAGAGACAGAGTGTGAGTAAGGGAGGGGCCAAGAGAGAGAGAGAGAGACACAGAACCCGAAGCAGGCTCCAGGCTCTGAGCACAGAGCCTGACGTGGGGCTCTTAACTCACAAACTGCGAGATCATGACCTGACCCTATGTAGGAGGCTTAACCAACTGAGCCACCCAAGTGGCAGTCACAAGGCACAACCTGGGCTCTCTTTCTCTCTTTCAAGTCCCAATGTGGGAGTTGGACTCATGACCCTGAGATCAAGAGTCAGATGTTAACTGACTCAGCCACCCAAGCGTCTTGTCAACTTTCTTGAGTAGAGAAGCAAACAGAGCTAAAATACAACACTTGATTCCAACACCTGGGGGGAAAAAATCACCATTTACATTCAGCCTTATTTTCATATATAGATGAACTTCGATTTTTAACCAATCTTAATTATACATATAGGTTGTTGCTAATTTCATACCTGTTGCAACGAACATCCTGTGTATCTGTTTCCAGACATGTTTTTATTTTCCTTTAAGATAAAATCACAATAAACTACTGGGTCAGAGTAGGCCAGTGCATGGCTCAGGCTTTTGATACATTATCAAAGGGCCCTAGAGAAAACTGAAACAGCATTCTTTTGTATAAGAATGGCCAAGGTTTCAAAGCTGACCACTCCTTTTACAAGAACAGCCTTTCCACTGTTCAGTAGTGATTCCAAATGGCCACGTAGAGACAGCCATTTGGGTGTGGACGTGCGTAAGCACCAGGGTTGATTCTTCAAGGGGGAAATGCATGGTTGTCTCCCATATCCCACGCGGCCCTTGGAGCCCTGTGGACCCAGGTGTCCAGGAGAAGGGCCTGCTGTTGGCTCAGACAGGACCTCACAAGGAGGCTTACCTCAGTAGAGTTGCTTCAGCTCAAGTTTGGGCTTCCTCAGCTCTTCCGGTCCAGAAACTTCATATTAATGAAACAGAAAGGAAACATTAAAAAACATACAAAATCACATACCAAAGGTCTAGTTCAGGGGCGCCAGGGTGGCTCAGTCAGGTGTCTGACTCCTGATTGCGGCTCAGGTCATGATCTCACAGTTCAAGGGCTCTGAGCTGATGCAGAGAACCTGCTTGGGATTCTCTCTCTGCCCTTCTCCTGCTCACAGATGCACACGTGCACTCTCTCTCTCTCTCAAAATAAATAAATAAACTTAAAAAAAAGGTCAAGCTTAATAGGTCTAGAATTTCAATTTTGTAGATGAGAAAATTGAAATCTACCCCAGAAACCAAGAGCACACTTTACACACTGTATGTCAGCCAAGTTGACAATTAAAAAAAAAAAAAGAAATGGTTAAGATGGTAAATCTTATGCTGTTACCACAATAACGTCTTTTTTTTTCTTAAGTTGATTACTTTGAGAGAGAGAAACATAGCAGAGCCTGAAATGAGGCTAGAACCCATGAACCGTGAGATCATGACCTGAGGTGAAATTAAGAGTCAGAAGGTTAACCAACTGAGCCACCCAGGCCTCCCACCACAATAACAAATCTTTTTTTTTTAATTTTTTAAAACAATTTCCATTAAAATTTTTTTCTTTAATGTTTATTTATTTGAGAGGAGAGAGAGAGAGAGAGAGCAAAAGATAGAGAGAGCGCATGAGCAGGGGAGGGGCAGAGAGAGAGGGAGACACAATCTGAAGCAGGCTCCAGGCTCTGACCTGTCAGCACAGAGCCCGATGAGGGGTTCAAACTCATGGACCACAAGATCATGAGCTGAGCCGAAGTCGGACACTCAACCGACTGAGCCACCCAGGCGTCCCCGTTTTAATTTATTTTTGAAAGAGAGAATGAGCGGGGCAGGGGCAGAGAGGGAGGGGGACAAAGGACCCTAAATGGGCCTCCAATTCACGAACCATGAGATCACGACCTGAGCCCAAGTCAAACACCACCCAGGTGCCCCTGGAGCATGTGATTCTTGATCCTGGGGTTGTAAGTTTGAGCCCCACATTGAGTGTAGAGATTACAACTCAAAGTAGAGGCTCAAACAGACATTTGTACACCTGTGTTCATAGCAGCATTTTTCACAGCAGCCAAAGGCAGAAACCACCCAAGTGTCCGTTGACAGATGAAAGGCTAAACAAAATGTGGTACATTCACACAGTGGAGGATTATTGAGTCTTACAAAGGAAGGAAATGCTGGCACACGTCACAACATGGATGAACCTGGAGGACGTCATGTTCAGTGAAATAAGCCAGGAATAAAAGGATGAACACTACCATATGATCCCATCTATATTAAGTACTGAGAGCAGTCAAATTCAGAGAGACAGAAAGTAGAATGGTGGCTGTCAGGGGCCGGGAGAGGGAAGAGGGAGTTTTTTGTTGTTTAATGGTACAGAGTTTCACTGTTGCAAGATGAAAAGAATCAATAATGTGGTACATTTAACACTACCGTACGATACACTTAGAAACAGTTACGACATCGGGGCACCTGTGGGGCTCAGTCGGTTGAGTGTCTGACTTTGGCTCAGGTCATGATCTCAGGGTTCATGGGTTAGAGCCCCGCATCAGGCTCTGTGCTGACAGCTCAGAGCCTAGAGTCTGCTTCGGATCCTGTCTCCCTCTCTCTCTGCCCCTCCCTTGCTTGCACTCTGTCTCTCTCTCTCTCAAAAATAGAAATTAAAAAAAAAAAACAAACATTAAAAAAAGTCAAGATGTGAAATTTTATGCATATTTTGCCACAATTAAAAATAATTTTAAGTGAGTCTCAGAAGAGATTTAAGAAATCCAACACTTTGCTATTTATTTGAGCTATACTTAAGACTATTCGCTTACTCTCTCCTTCATTCATTTATTCAGGGTCAACGGCCACCTCACATCCACTCCCGATATTCTGGGGGCACCTCTTCCACGCACCTCCTCCATGTTCAGCTGAGCCACAAAATCCAACTATTTAAAGTAACCACTACAGGGGCACCTGAGCGGCTCAGCTGGTTAAGTGTCCAACTCTTGATCTCAGCTCAGGTCTTGATCTCAGGGTCCTGAGTTCAAGCCCAGTGTTGGGCTGCACGCTGGGCTTGAAGCCTACCTAAAAAAAAAAAAAAAAAGTAACTGCTACATATGAGGCAATGAGGACATAGGAGCAAATAAGGTAAAAAGGGTCCCTATTGTCATAGAATTTATATCCTGTGGTAGAGTCAGACAACAAGCAAAATGAACACGGTGATAGTATTCTGTGGGAAATAAACATGATACAAGAGACGGTAACCAAAAGGTGGGATCAGGGCATCGGACTTCAATAATAGGACAGGGCTCAGCTCTTTGAGGTGACAGCAGAGTGAAGACACGTAGAATGAGAAAAACCCTGCAATGAAGAGTCGAGGAAAGTGTATTCTAGGAAAGGAAATAGCAAGTCCAAGGTCCTGAGTCAGGCAGGTGCTTGGTCTATTCAAGAGCAGAAAGGAAGCCACTATTAACTAGAACATGGCCAACAGGTGGTGGTGGTGGTGGTGGTGGTGGTGGTGGAATGAGGCTGGAGAGGAAGGCAGGGGCCAGATTAGCTGTAGGGCCTTATGCATCATGGTCAGGAGCTTGGGTTTTATTCTAAATGGAAAAAGAAATCCCTGGGAGGTTCTAGGCAGAAGGACCATCTGATACTTTATAAACCTTTTTCCCAAATGCTGTGGGGGAAGTGGATGCAGGGGAGCAAAGTGGAAGGGGACCATTCGGGAGGCGACTCTGACGGCCAGGTGGGCGAAGAGGCAGACTGGCTGGCACAGGTGGCAACAGATGGAGAGGAGCAGGGGACGTGGGCCCTGCCTGCAGGGCCCAACCAACAGGGCCCGCGGACAGGCTGGCTAGGAGCACTGAGGCACGGGGAAGACGTAGGAGGGACCTAGCTTCAGGGACAAGGTACACTGCAGTGGCATTTACAGAGCTGGTGGAGCTGATGGTGGGGTGGGGGGTGGGCACAGGCTGATTAGAAAACGGGAGGACTGAAGAGGAGGAGCCCAGGAGGAACCTGGGCATCCGAGACATGGTGTAGACAGCTGACAGTCAAACCTGGAGGTCAAGGGTAAGGTGTGGGCGAGATACAAATTCGGAATAACATGTAAAGCCAGGGGCTAGGACAAAGGACCCACGGCTAAGATGACACCAGAGGGCTAAAAATACAAGTAAAGATATACTGATCAGTTGAATCAATAGAAAATGCATTTGGTCATATTTATACTAAAGTGAACCAGTAGACAAAAAGCATTATGGACGAATAAAGAAAAATAATTTAGAGTGATCAATTAGTAGTGAGCGTGTGACAGGATCAAACCTTTATAAGAAAACCAGGAGAAAGGGGACACCGGTTGCACGTCTATCTTGCGCCAGGCACGTTCTAAGTTTTCTCTAGTGACCTGGACGAGTCTGTGAGGTGGGTATCATCCTAGGACAAAGGTGAGAGATTAGGTTTTACAGGCTGATGAGGTGCTTGAATTCCAGCCCTAGCATTCACTAGGAATGTGACCTTGAGCCCTGAGAATGAAGTCCATTTCCTCACCGCGGGCTCTGGGCTCTCAAACCTTAGCTGTGCCTCTCTCTTTCACACCTCTCTCTGCTCTTCACTCTTACTGGACTTGTTCCTGCTCAGGGCCTTGGTGTCTTCTGTGCTTCCTGCCTACAACACACTTTTCCCAGATTTTCTTCACATGGCTGGCTTTTTCAGGTCTCAGATCAAATGTCACTGCCTCAGAGAAAGCTTGTGTGGCCATCCTATCTAATGTCCCAAGGGAAATAGGAAGAAAGAAATAGTATTATAAGCAGGGAAATAAATGTCCTGGAAAACAACCACAACCACAACAACAAAAAAATGGAATTCAAATCCATGAGTTAGTAGTTACGAACATAACTTTAAAATAAAAAAAAATTTTTTTTTAAATTTAGAGACAGAGCATGAGCAGGGTAGGGACAGAGACAGAGGGAAACACAGAATCTGAAGCAGGCTCCAGGCTCCGAGCTGTCAGCACGGAGCCCGACGTGGGGCCGGAATGCACGGACTGTGAGATCATGACCTGAGCTGAAGTCGGATGCCCAACCGACTGAGCCACCCAGGCGCCCCTGAAAATAACTTTAAAAAAAAAAAAAAAGATTCAACTAAGGGAGCCTGGTGGTTCAGCTCAGGTCATGATCCCAAGGTCATGAGATCCAGCCCTGCATCGGTCTCCGTGCTGGGTGTGGAGCTTAAGATTGTCTCTTTCTTGGGGCGCCTGGGTGGCTCAGTCAGTTAAGCATCTGACTTGGGCTCAGGTCATGATCTCACGGTTTGTGAGTTCAAGCCCCATGTCGGGCTCTGTGCTGACAGCTCAGAGCCTGGGGCCTGCTTCGGATTCTGTGTCTCCCTCTCCCTCTGCCCCTCCCCCACTTGTGCTCTCTCTTTCTCTCAAAAATAAATAAAACATATAAAAATTGTTTAAAAAAAGATTCTTTCTCTCTCATAAATAAGTAAATAAATAAAATAATTTCACAGGAAACACTAGAAGCTACTTTTTAAAAAATTTATATTTTGAGAGAGACAGAGAGAGAGAGAGCACGTATGCGTGTGCAAGCAGGGGAAGGGCAGAGAGACAGGGGGACGAGGATCCAAACTGGGTTCCTCACTGACAGGCTGATGGTAGCAAGCCCAATGTGGGGCTTGAACTCACGAACCACGAGATCATGAGCTGAGCCAAGAAGTCGGACTTTCAACCGAGCCACCCAGGCGCCCCTAGAAGCTATTGTTAAAAGCATTATCAGCAACTCAGGTTTTACACTGTTTCAAGAGTTGATCAGGCAAGGCAGGACGGTATGCTGACCAGGCTCAGAACGCCTATTTAATAACTTACAATGAGAAACGTGCCAAACGGCACAAAATGTTCATATTGGCTAATCAGTATAGTCCCTCCTCTATATAAAAATGTACCAGGAAGCAACATTATAATCAGAAGGCTGTTCAAAGAAGGGCTTAGCACCAAGTGAGGTGGCTGGGAGATCTATGTCACTGATGGTCACCACGGCACAGGGCCTATTTCCACATCTTCACTGTGAAGAGATAGTCTCACCATGAAGTCCAGGGACTGGCCTTGGCTGGCCAGTGCTCCCTCCCCTCAGTCTAGTACAGGAGACACTATGACAGCTTCCTGTTTCCTGTCTATCCTTTTACTACCCAAAGATGAATCCTTTTTTTTTTTTTTTTTAATTTTTTTTTTCCAACATTTATTTATTTTTGGGACAGAGAGAGACAGAGCATGAATGGGGGAGGGGCAGAGAGAGAGGGAGACACAGAATCGGAAACAGGCTCCAGGCTCTGAGCCATCAGCCCAGAGCCTGACGCGGGGCTCGAACTCGCGGACCGCGAGATCGTGACCTGGCTGAAGTTGGACGCTTAACCGACTGCGCCACCCAGGCGCCCCTGAATCCTTTTTTTTTTTAATTTTTTTCAACGTTTATTCATTTTTGAGATACAGAGAGAGAGAGAGAGAGAGAGAGAAAGAGAGAGAGACAGAGCATGAGTGGGAGAGGGGCAGAGATGGAGGGAGACACAGAATCCGAAGAGCACTCCAGGTTCTGAGCTGTCAGCACAGAGCCCAACGCAGGGCTCGAACTCACAGACTGCGAGAGCATGACCTGAATTGAAGTCGGACGCTTAATGGACTGAGCCACCTAGGTGCCCGAAAAATCCTTTCTTGCACAGGAAGAGCCAGCCTACTGTCAGGATGATCAGGTTGGGACTGGGCTACACTCCACTCACCTCGACTGGTTTTGGTGTTCTCACTGCTCTGCAGCCCTGCTTCTTGGAAGAGAACATTTCCACAACGGTGGGACTCACATGCTGATATAGTGAGTCTTACTAAAGTCACTCTCAGATAGAAGAAGGCCTTATTCAGGGGAAGTCACTCAGCAACATTTACTCAACAACTGCCACCTCTCAGATCCTGTAGATCCCAATTCTCTTAGCTCTTCACGGGGCTTACAGACAAGTAAGCCAAGTCAACATAAACTGCACTGGGGATTCTGTAAGTATAAGATTCCTAACCTAGTCTAGGGAAGCAGGAAAGGCTTCCCTGAGGCTAAGATGGAAGAGGAACTGAGAGCCCAGAAAGCCAAGAGAAAGGGACAGAGGCTGAAGTCAGATTTCAGAGGGTCCTAGACTGGTTTTTAATCATTAGTTTTAAGCTGAAATCAACATGATCAGGCTTAGACTTCACAAAGATCAGCAAGCAGAATAAATCAGGAGAGTCAAGAACGAATTCCAACAAGTGTGTCAAGTATACCTCAATAAAGCTGAAAACTCCCACCTCCTCCTCTCAGGAACCTGTAATCCTCACCTTCTGGACTAGTGTAGGTTCGTTCATGCATGCATGCATCCAATTCGTTGAAGCTTTCTACCTGCCAAGCGTTTTCCTAGAGATTGAGAGGGGACAAGAGCAAACAGGTCACCCTCGGTCCTTACCGCCTCTGGAAGCGACGTGGGTCAGAAGAGAGCACGTCGGCTGGAGTAAGCAGTATGGCCATGGAGAGCCGTGAAAAGAGGCTTAGACTGGGGTGACCTCTTTCAAAATGGAGCTTAGACAAGTCACGGACCCCCACCCCCCCCCCCCGCACCGGATCTGTTCTCCCCATTTGTAAAATGGGAACCTACCCTGCAGGGCCCTTGTGAAAATCGAAGATCTCTAAGCACGGCTCCCGGCACTCTGCGTACACCCTCAGTTGGCCGCAAGGTTTTGTGATTTCTGGAGGTGGCATGCGGGCTGCAACACGTGCGGCGAGGGCACAGTGGTACGAGCTGAATGAAAAAGCCCTCGCCGAGCGGATGCTTGGCCGGCAGCCTTCGGCCACGTAGCGATTCTCGAGGCTTCCCGGATATCCAGGCACCAGGTACTTCCCTGATGCCCCTACCGGACCGCACCCAAAGCCTCCGCCATCACCGACTGCAGTCGAACCGGACGCAACGCGACACTCGCCGCAAGCTCCTATCCCAGCCATGGCGGGGCAGTGGCGTGTCGAACGCATGCGCAGTCTGCACGCCCGCGCGCGGCGGGCCCCGCCCCGTCCGCTTCAGAGGCGGGGCCGTGCGGGCTGGGCTCCGCCCCCGGAGCGTCCGGCCCCGCTCCGGGCCCCGCCTCCAGCTAGCCGCGGACCTCCCGAAGCGGGCCCGCTGAACCCGGCCGGGAGCGCCTGGGCGCTTTAAGGAGGGGGCGGGCCCGGGGGCGGTGGCCCCAGGAGCGGTTGCCGCGGGAACGGGGCGGTGACGCGGCCCGAGGGCGGAAGTGAAAAAGTTGCCGGCGCCCCGAGACGAGTTGGCGGAGTTCTGCGTGCGGCGCGGCGATGGGGGGCTCGGGCAGTCGCCTGTCCAAGGAGCTGCTGGCCGAGTACCAGGTGCGCGGAACGCCGGTCCCCGGGGAGTTTGCGCGCGGGCCTGCGCTGCGGAGCGGGGTCCCGGGGCTGGGTCCCGGGGCGGGCGGTAGGGCGGGCGCGGCCTCCGGGAGGCCCGCTGAACCCCTCCCGTTTTGCTTTCCAGGACTTGACGTTCCTGACCAAGCAGGAGATCCTCCTGTAAGTGCCGTCTCGAACCTCAGCTCCCGGATCTTCTAGAGGCGACTTCGGGGGGCTCTGTTTAACAAAGGGTCCCCCAGGGGGAGGGACGGGGCCCGCGACCGAGCAGGTGCCCGCGCCCCGGCCGCGAGCCCTACCCGCCGGCTCGGGGGGCCCCGATGTGCACCGCAGAGCCACCTCGAAGCCTCCGCCCGGGCTGGGCGCTCCGGGGCCTGCGCTCCCTGGCTCCTGCGTTATCGAACTTCCTGCCCCAGCCCGGCGGGGGCTCGGCGGACTTCGCCTACCGGGAGCCCGGCCCCTCGTAACTTGACCTGAATATATACAGTAACCGTTAACGCTTACTGAGCACTCGTCGTGCGCCAGCAACTGTGCGAAGTGCTTGCCTATATTACCTAATTCAATCCTTAGGAGGGAGGTGCGGGGACAATGAATCAGGTTTCCGAAAAGTTTGTTTACTTGACTAAGAGTACGCTCCAAGTGAGAGGATTTGAATTCGGGCTGGAAACCCCTTCCAAGCCGTGTGTCAGCTTTTTGTGGTGAAGGCACTTGAGTGAGGCGATTCCTTGGCTTCTCTTGGCAAAAAATAATCCCAGTGGGAAGGAGCTGGGGGCGGAGGAAGAGATCGTTTAGGTAGCTGCTAAAATGGAAGGCTTTGAGGAGCTGGAGATCCCTGGAGTGAAATGAAAGTGAGGTTTCGTCTTTACTCTTTTCTCACTATTTTTCAGGGCCAACTGCTGGCTCCTTCTGCACCCTCACCATCCCTCTGGGAGCTCTAGAGCCAGTCCCAGTACAGTGCCTGGCACACAGTAGGCCCTCAGTAAATACCCATTGCATGAATGGACTCCCAGCCTGTAGTCTTGTGACATATCTCCCTTTGGCTTATGCCTGATGGCTGAGAAGCTCTGTGTATGTGGCTTAGCTTGTCACCTGGTTTATAATGGGTAGCAAGGCAAGGAGTGGGGATGTGATACACACAGGAAGGTTTGCCAACAGGTTCCTCTCCTTCTGCCAGAGCCCACAGGCGGTTTTGTGAGCTGCTTCCTCAGGAGCACCGGAGCACGGAGGAGTCACTGCACACACGAGTGTCCTTGGAGCAGATCCTCAGCCTTCCAGAGCTCAAGGTGCCAGTCCCCCACCCTGCCTCTGCTATTCATCTTGAGATCATGTGGTCACTAGTCCCCCATTCTGGTCTTTCCTCCATTTAGTCCCAATTTCCTGGGGACAAGGGCTTTATCAAAATCACCCAGTGGAATTAACTGGAATGGTGTTTTTCAAACTGGGATTCTTGGACATATTATTGGAGAGTCAAGTAAGTTTTGTCCTTTATTATATTTTTTAATTTTATTATTTTTTAATGTTTATTCATTTTTGAGAGAGAGACAGAGTATGAGCGGGGCAGGGGGGTGGGGGGGGGTGCAGAGAGAGAGCAAGTCACAGAATCCAAAGCAGGCTCCAGCCTCTGAGCTGTCAGCACAGAACCTGATGCGGGGCTCGAACCCATGGACTGTGAGATCATGACCTGGGCCGAAGTTGGCCACTTAACCAACTCAGCCACCCAGGCACCCCTAAGTTTTGTCCTTTAAAAGGAGTTGAGGGGCGCCTGGGTGGCTCAGTTGGTTTAGCGTCCCCTCTTGATTTTGGCTCAGGTCATCTCACAATTTGTGAGTTCAAGCCCTGCATCGGGCTCTGTCCTGACAGTGCAGAGCCTGCTTGGGATTCTCTCTCTCTCTCCCTCTCTCTCTCTGTCCCTCCCCTGTTCTAGTTTTGTCTGTCTGTCTGTCTCTCTCAAGATAAATAAGCCTAAAAATAATAATAAATAAATAAAAGGAGTTAAGTTACTGTATTAAGGTTTGAGAAGCTCTATTCCAGAGGCCAAATGCCTCTCCACAGGGTTGCTGTGAAAATTTTTAGGCAAAGGGCCTGGCCTGGTGCCTATAACACAGTGAGTGTTCAAGTAAACGTGTTTTATAGTAACCAGCCCATCTTGTTCTCTGCTTAGGATGCTTTCATCTTCCTTCTCTGCCCCTAGGCCTGCTGTTGGGTCAAACTGACTCGGTTACAGCCGTCCCTGTCCCTTCCTCAGTCAGTTGGCTCTCTCTCCCACCCTCCATGCTGGTCCCAAAACACTGAGCATGCTCTCCTGTGAGCCCAAGCTCATGGTACCGTGACCTGCTCCCTCCAGTTCCTGGCAGGGTTTGAGGAGTGTGTGACCTGGGCTACATCCCATGGTGTTCACAGAAGGCTCTCTTGCCTAGGCCAACCCCTTCAAGGAGCGAATCTGCAGAGTCTTCTCCACATCGCCAGCGAGGGACAGCCTGAGCTTCGAGGACTTCCTGGACCTCCTTAGTGTGTTCAGTGACACAGCGACTCCAGACCTCAAGTCCCACTATGCCTTCCGCATCTTCGGTGAGGGCCAGGAGCAGCCTGGCATGGCCTGACACGGCCTGCTCCCACACGGTCCTGGTGGTGGTGTTCCTGCCCGGGAGCTGGGGGTCTCTGTGGAGCCTTGGAACTCACACTGACCACATTCTTTCTGGCTTCCTGCGTCTGTCCATAGACTTCGATGATGATGGAACCCTGAACCGAGAAGACCTGAGCCAGCTCGTGAACTGCCTCACGGGCCCGGGCGAGGACACGCAGCTTAGTGCTTCAGAGATGAAACAACTCATTGACAACGTGAGTAGCCGGGCCGGGCCGGGCCAGGGAACGGGAGGGGAGGGCTAGGACTTGGCCTGAAGCTGTCCTTTCCCAGATCCTGGAAGAGTCCGACATCGATCGGGATGGCACCATCAACCTCTCAGAGTTCCAGCACGTCATCTCCCGCTCACCAGACTTCGCCAGGTATGAGGGTCATGGTCTGCCTGCGTTCTGGTTACCCCTGGGTCCCCGCCTGCTGCAGCTGGGCCTGGGATGTTGGGATGGGAGGTGGCAGCCGGGCTGAGAAGGCCCCAGTTCCTCTCAGCGTCTCAGGGCAGCTCTTCCAAAGGGGACGGACAGACGTGGGTCAGCCCGTTCCAAAGGGTCTTAGGGAAGATGTGGGTAAGTTTGGGGTTAGTGTCTCCCCTCCTCTTCCAGCAGAAAACCCGAGCCACTTTTCTCTTGTTCAGCTCCTTTAAGATTGTCCTGTGACAGGAGCCACAGCCATGTGTCCCAGCAAGCACCCTGCCCAAGAGCCTTTCCACTGCTGAGCTGTGGCCGAGGTCATGCCTGTGTTGCCAGGGCCGGCTGAGCTGGCCTAGCCCAGAGCTGGCACTGTGAAGTCCTGCTCCAGGCAGGGGAAGGCCCTCCATGGCGGGGCCTCTCCTGTCACTGTCATCGCTCTATTTGTGTTCTACTAATCTATAATAAAGGTGTAGATGTTTTGACCCTTTGCGTGATACTAGAAACACAGGTATGGGACAGGACTGGACTTCCAGGAACCTTTGGTCATACTGGGAACAACAGGATTTAAAGGGCCATTGGGGGGGGTGCTGGGTGGCTCAGTCGGTTGAGCTTTCGACTTCAGCTCAGGTCACGATCTCGCATTTCATGGGTTCAAGCCCCACGTCGGGCTCTCGCATTTCGTGGGTTCAAGCCCCACATCGGGCTCTGTGCAGAGCCTGGAGCCTGCTTCAGATTTTGTCTCCCTCTCTCTCTGCCCCTCCTCTGCTCTCTCTCTCTCAAAAATAAACAGACATGAAAAAAAAGTTTTTTAAAGGGGCAAGAGGAAGTGAGACTGTAGCTCACCTGGCCCACCCTCCACTGAGGGTGTGAGTATAAAGGGTAGCAGGACAGATGGAACCCCCCTATATCCTCATGGTGGTGGTGGTGGTTACATGAATTTCTACACGTGTGAGAATTTACACAACTGTGTGCCAAAAGAAAAAAAAAACATCAGTTTTACTGTATGATCGTTCAAAAAATAAAATTTTGGGGCACCTGGGTGGCTCCATCGGTTAAGCGTCCGACTTCGGCTCAGGTCATGATCTCACGGTTCATGAGTTCCAGCCCTGCATCGGGCTCTGCGCTGGCAGCTTCGGAGCCTGGAGCCTGCTTCGGATTCTGCGATTCTCTCTCTGCCCTCCCCCCACTCGCACTCTTTCTCTCTCAAAAATAAAACTTAAAAAAAAATTTTTTTACACACAAAAAAAAAAAATCGTAAAAAAATTTTGAAAACTAAGAAAATGACAAAACCCTGATCCCCTGTGCTGTCACCCTGAATGGACTGGGGAAGGTGCAGAGTAAAGGGGCTGAGGGAAAGCAAATGAGTTCCTTGCCCCCAACCCATCAGGGCATTACACTTCCCACCTTAAGGACCATACTCCACTGAGAGATGGAGTTAGCCAGGCCAGGCGGTTCTGGACCACTAGCCCCTGGAACGAGGAGGTTCAGAACCTTTCAGAACCCAGAGAACTAGACCAACCTCAAAAAATAACAGTCCTTTGGGGTGCCTGGGTGGAGTGTCCCGACTCTCCATTTTGGCTCAGGTTATGATCTTGCAGTTCGTGAGTTCGAGCCCTGCATCAGGCTCTGCACTGACAGGGCAGAACCTGCTTAGGATTCTCTCTCTGTCCCTCTCCTTCTTGTGTACATGTATGCATGCTCTCTCTCTCCCTCTCTCTCAAAATAAACATTTAAAAAAAAAAAAAAAAAGTAGGATCCCCTGGGTGGCTCAGGTCATGAGCCAGGTCATGATCTCACCGTTCATGAGTTTGAGCCCGAGTCGGGCTCTGTGCTGACAGCTCAGAGCCTGGAGCCTGTTTCGGATTCTGTGTCTCCCTCTCTCTCTGCCCCTCCCCCCTCACAGTCTGTCTCTCTCAAAAAATAAATAAACATTAAAAAAAATTTTTTTTAAAGTCACAGTCCTTTAAGAGGAAAGGCCATGATTGTTTCTATTCTTTAGATTTTATTTAAAAAAAGAAAAAAAAGTAAAGTGCATCTCATTAAAAAAAAATATAAAACCCACATAAACTCAGGGCCCCTGTGTTGGGCAGTGTCCATATACCTTAGAATGGGGGCAGGCAAGGTACAGGGGATGGACTCTGGGGAGGACTAGGTTTAGGGGGGAGTCTGGGGTAGACGTGGGGAAAAGGGACACAGGTTTGCAGGCTGGGGTGGAGGAAGGCAGGCTTCCGAGAGAAAGGCGTCCATCATCACAAACTCTCTCCCGGGCTCGCGCTGCCCCCTCTCACACGTGGCCACAGCCTGATACAGGCTGGAAAGGTCCAGCAGGTGAGCCGGAGCCCAGGGCCTTGGGAGGGCTGCGGGGGCGGTGTGGCACCCCCGCCTCCCCCTGGTCCCTGAGGTGATGGGATGATGGCTGTAATGGGCCGGCCAGCCGTCGAGGCAGGACGCACGGAGCCCGAGCCGGCCCTTGCCTCGGCAGAGACCAGGGGCAGCTGGTGGCGGCAGGCTAAGGCAGAGAAGGTGGAAGAGGCCGGCCGGTGGGGGTGCCCAGCTCTGTCTCAGACAACCACTTTGGGCGGATTCCCACGCCTCCGAGGCTGAGGCTGCGGGAGGGGCTGCGTGCGCGCCTGGGGCTCCGGGCTGTCTCCTCCTCACTCCCGTTTCACATTTTCCGTTGTTTAAACAAAGGGCTCAGTTTACACAGGGAGCGCTCTTCTGTCCATCGAGACAGGCCCCCATCTTCAGCTGGGACCTCCGGGACCGTGGCTGTGGGTCGGAGGGGGCCTCGCTACGTGGCCCGCTCCATCGCTCCCGAGGGTCGGGCGCCACAGTTGTGTTCCGCGAGAAGCGGAGGCCCGGCTGACCCCCTCTTAGCACTCGCGGCCTCCGAAGCCAAGGTGGACTCCTCTAGAAGTCAGCTCTCACACCACGGAGTCCCGGATCTCAGAGCCCAGGCGGACCCGGGGCCTGGGGCACACCGGGGACACCTCCACAAAGCTGTCCTGGATGCTGAGCGGCCTCTTCTCGGACTCCGTGAAGACGCGGGGCCCCGGGGGGCTGTCTGACAGGGCCTGGTAGCCTCGGTGGTCGAGAGGGGTGCTAGGGGGGCCTACGCCGTTAAGCGGCCGGGTCTCGGGTGGCAGCGCCGTAGGGCGGGTCTTGGGGTGCACGCTGGCACACTCCCCCCGCTTCAGGAAGACTTTCATGCCGCCCCGGTGCCGGTAGAGGAAGAATAAAATCAGGAGCACCACAGCGAACACGAAGAGCGCGCACATCACCAGGAACTCGGTCCAGTAGGACTTGTCCGCACCCCAGCTGGCCTTGCCGCCGGCTGGCGCGCTCACCCGCGACGTGCTGATGACGATGGGCACGCCGCCGCTCCGGTCTGCTCGGTCCGCGATCAGGTCCTCTGCTACCTTCGGGCAGTAATTGGCCACCAGCTGCCAGAAACCCTCCTCCAGCGACCAGCACTGGAACACCCCCAGTTCCTGCTGGCTGCCCACCAGCAGCAGGTCCCCAGTAGGCAACACGCGGCAGGAGGCCGAGGCGTTGACAGGGGCCCCGTCGTGGAGCCAGAGCCGGGTGGCCAGGTTGGAGAGGAGGGGGCAGGCTAACGTGTTCACCGTGTTGGGCTGAAACTGGACCCGCTCACACGGCTTCTCGCCTACAGACAGAAGACGCACGGGGTGAGAGGGGGCCCGGCATCCACGGTGGCCCCGAGCTCACCCGCCTCTCCCTGGACTGTGATCCTTGTACCATGATGGAAAACTCGGGGGACTCTGAGTCTGGGACGCGGACAGAAGGAAGGGCACTCATAGCCACCGTTGCCCGCAGAAGGCTTCTCGGCGGACTTGGCCCCCACCTCTCCAGCTCGGACAGGGCAGTTTACCTGTTAGTACAGGAGCCGGAAGCCGGGCTGAGGACGTGTTGCAGAGGCCCCTGGCGTTCTCCCCCTCAATGTCCTGGATCCACGGCCTGGGGACCAAGAGACAGTCTGGGATAAGCCAGGAAACCACCGTGAGCCTGCATTGCCCCCCCCCCCCCCGCCCCCCCCCCCCCCCCCCGCCCTCCTCAGTGCAGCCAGGCCGTCAAGTGGCCCTGCAGACCCAGGCCTGGCCAAGGGCCTAGGGGGGCTCAGGGAACACCAGGACCAAAGCAGGAGTAAAAAGGCAGCTTCCCCATGCTGATTCCCCACCTGAAGGTTCTGAGCCAGCACCTCCTCTGTTTATACATTATCTATTCTAAATACAAGTTACCGTCACACTCCCCTGAATTACAAAAGCAGTATGAGCTTTTAGAAAACATCTGGAAGGACAGCTGGATCTATATGCATGGGTCCGTCTGTCTTAATGCACATGCACTGACTTTAATAAAACGTAATAAAAAATAAAAGTCATCCTTTTTTCTAACCTGTTATAAAAATTTTTAATGGTTTTATTTATTTTTGAGAGACAGACAGAGACAGAGCACGAGTGGGGGAGGGGCAGAGGGAGAGGGAGACACAGACTCTGAAGCAGGCTCCAGGGTCTGAGCTGTCAGCACAGAGCCCGACACGGGGCTTGAACTCGCAAATCTTGAAATCATGACCTGAGCCGAAGTTGGACGCTTAACCGACTGAGCCACCCAGAAGCCCCTTAAAAGTCATTCTTGATACACTCAGAAAACCTAAAAACTCAACCAAGTACAAAGGCTGAAAACACTACGGAAGCCACACACAACCCACCATCTGGTAACCGTGATGGGGAGTATTTGTGGTGCATCCTTCCAGGTGGACGTATGTGTACTCGTATGTGATTCTCTGAAATATAAAATCAGCACCAGGTCTCCATGTGTGTGAAGCAAGGTCACTACAAGGGGGACGGATTCCATCTTTATTTAAAATACATGTAGGGGCACCTGGGTGGCTCAGTCAGTTAAGAGCCAGACTTTGGCTCAGGTCATGATCTCGGGTTCGTGGGTTCGAGTCCCACGTCGGGGTCTGTGCTGACAGCTCGGAGTCCGGAGCCTGCTTCGGATTCTGTGTCTCCCTCTCTCTCTGCCCCTCCCTCACTCATGCTCTGTCTCTGTCTCTCTCAAAGACAAACATTAAAACATTAAAAAATAATAAAATAAAATACATGTATTTTGGAGCGCCTGGGTGACTCGGTTGGTTGGGTGTCCGACTGCGGCTCAGGTCATGATCTCACAGTTTGTTGAGGTTGAGGCCCACGTTGGGCTCTGTGCTGACAGCTCGGAGTCTGGGGCCTGCTTCGGATTCTAGCTTCCTCTCTCTCTCTCTCTGCCCCTCCCCCACTAGCGCTCTCTCTCGCCCTCGCTCTCTCTCTCCCCCTTGCTCTTAAAAAAACATTAAAAAAATTAAAATAAATAAAACACATGTATTTGTATTTTACATATATAGAGAAAAGTCTGGGAGGCTCTATTTCCATCAAAATCTCACTGGGATTCTCTCTAGAGGGGATTCTCTCTAGTGGGATTAGCGACAGTTTTTATTTTGTTTACGCTTCTCTCCACTTTTTAGGTTTTCCGTATGAACATTTTACAACCTTCGTTCTCTTGAAAGCCATTTTTAATGGGTTTTGTTAACGGATTGTTGCGTAGTCCTTATTTTTTGTTAAAGAAAAATTTGCACGCTAATTTTTCGTTGCTGCGACACTTCACACTACCGAATGGGTAAGGCAAACATAATTTCTTGCCTAAGCCAGAACCCTTTTGAGAATCAGAAGGGTGATGTTTAAAAAAAAGAAAAAAAAAAGGAGGGCCTGTGGAAGGTGCTCTGAGGCCAAGGGCACAGGATGGACAAGTGGGACAATGGGAAGGGCCTGCAGAAGCTCTCACCTGGAGGCCGCCTCAGGTTGGTAGAGGCTGACGTGTCTGCAGCTGGAACCGCTCCAAGCACAGTAGGGGTCCCGGGCGAGGACACAGTCCCCACAGCTCTGGTACAGGCTGCAGTTGGCCACAGGCACCTGGACTACGCCTGAGTGGGAGGCAGCGTAGAGCAGTCCCTGCACAGACACGGGGCGGGGGGTGAGAGGCGGGCACGGGCGGCCGGGGCCGCCTCGCACAGCTGCACCTGGCTCGCGTGCCCACCAGAGCCACTCCCCAGGGGGCCTCCTCTTACGCCCCCGGGCACCCCACTTTCCGTTGGCTCATGCCACGAGACTGGAACTTTCCATCCTGCAGGCGCCAGGGAGAAGCTGGCTGGGGCCCGCTTATCGGTAACGAGGGGCACCCGGGCGTGCTCCCCGGGCTCCTCCTCCAGCTCACCCTGCTGGCGTCCAGCAGCAGGTTCTGCACGGGCTGTCCTGGCGAGAAGATCTGGAGCTCCTCGACGATGTGCACCCTGGGGCCCACGCCCACCGCCTTGTGCAGCCGGCCATCGCCTGGAACACGGACAGCGCTCAGGCCCACAGCCCCACAGCCGCGTCCCCCGAGCCCGAGCCCGCCCCGCCGCGGGCACTTACCGGTGCCCAGGAAGAGCACGTCGTAGGTGTGGTGCAGGCCGGACACGCGGTGCACGGCCACGCGCTGGTAGCGGGCGCGGGGCTGCAGCAGCAGCAGGCGGCTGCGGACCTGCCCGTCCATCAGGAAGTGGTCCTTGAGGAAGTTCAGCACACGGTCTGGGAGTTGCAGGGACGAGCTGATCTTCCTCTCCCGGGCACTGTCGGTGATGCACTGAAGGAGAAGGCGGCGGCGTGAGGCCGGTGCCGCTTAGAGCGGCCAGCAGGGCGGGAACCGCGTGGCCACCGCCAGGATTGCCAGGCCCTGCCCCCGCGGTGGACGGCAGGGCCACCCGCCCGCCCCGCAGACGCCACTGCACGTCACCCGCGGTGCTGCAGGGAGCCAGCACACCGATCGGGAGGCCCCGGGGCGAAGCCTGGGTGTGGGGCACCCAGGGGCCCTGGCCGGCAGGGTTCCCCTCCCTGCCCAGGCCCCTCGCCCTCCCCCAGGCCTCAGGAAGCATGCCACGCTCCTGCTGCTTCAGCAACCTTTCACCAGTGCCAGAAGGAAGCCTAGGCTAACCAGGGTCTCCTAGTGCGGGGGGCATGAAGGTGCCCTCCCAGGGCCCCAGGTGCCCACGACGGTGACAGCTCGGGGACACCCTCCCTTGGCTCTGCTTCCTCCTCTAGCTTTCCTATTCCCTCACGGTACTTCCTGAATCACCTCCCTTATGAACCCCCGGCACTCAAATCCCTGTTTCAAGGTCCAATGGCAATAGGCTGCCATTATGGGCAGCCTATTAAGCTGGATGGAAAGAAGGACGATATTCCCACGGCCGGGCCGCTCGTCACTCAACAGCTAGAGGAGGAACTCACAGCTGGGCAGGGGAGAGACGCGGGTGCAGGGACAATGACCGAAGCGTGCACTAAGTGTCCCGATGGGCACACACCTGCTCACTCTAGATAGGGCTACGGCATTCCAGCATTTGTAGCCACGTGTAACCCAGTAAGACAAGCAGGCCTGGCTCTTGTCCCCACGTTCAAGAAAACAGGCTCAGAGAAGCCCAAGGAGCCCAGCACGGTGTGGGGACCTTTGTCATCCGCACCCCACCCGGGTGCAGAGAGCAGCACTTACCGCTCCGGGACGGGGTGTGGGCACTGGGTGGGTCACAGTGTACCACTGCTGTGTCTCCCGGTTCACCTCCTTGTACAGGCCGTTGAAGGCCTTCTGCACGTCTTTCATGGTGAAGACACAGAGGGCGGAGCCCTCCGTGGTCCCCCTGTGCCTACCGTGGAAATGGCTGGATTAACCCAGGAGCCCCGGGGCTCCGCATGAGGCCGGCTTAGCCCCAAGGCCGGCTTTGGGCCCCAGTCCCGTCACCCCCCAGCCGTCCCATCTCTGGTTAGGTCCCCGGGGGCCGTACCACTGGGATGTGAAGACCCCATAGAAGAGGGTGTCCCGCCAGTCCTGGGGGCTGGGGCTCAGCGTGAAGACGTCCTGCAGCACGTTGAACGGGAAGCCGTCGTCGGGCCGCGAGCAGAGCAGCTGGGCCTTGAGGAAGGACGTCCAGCGTTGCTGCAGGACCCGCTCGCCGCCCTCGTCACCCTGGGGGAGGGGGAGGGGGAGAGACACGGGGCTCAGCCTGGGCGGGGGCTGGGAGGCAGGGGGAGCCTGGTGCCCCTTACGGCCCCTCCCCAGTGGTAGTGGTAGCTGACCCAGACCCTGGGAAGGGCGAGCCACGGCTGGGGCCGAGTTCCATGTAAAAGCAAGAAGCGGGGCGCCCGGGGGACTCGGTCGGTTGAGCGTCCGACTTCGGCTCAGGTCGTGATCCTGAGGTTCGTGAGTTCGAGCAACGCACAGGGGCTCTGCGCTGACAAGTGCGGAGCCTGCTTGGGATTCTCCCTCTCTCCCTCCCCCACTTGTGCTATCTCTCTGTCTCAAAATAAATAAAGAAACTTTAAATATACAAAATAAATAAATCAAATCAAGAGGACTTGACGGCAATGTCCAGGAGGCCGGCCGAGTAAAGGACGGTTCCCTCACTGTGGAACAGCCAGAAACAGAGAGGGGTCTGCCCACACGCAGGGAAAGAGGTCATGATTCCCAGCAAACACCTAAATACCTGCATTACAGTAGAACTCTTGCTTTGTAAGCGGTGTTTTAATAACGCAAATATGTACATATTTATGCATATACAAAAAAAGATTCCCAAGGGGCGTTCTAAAACGTTAACAGTGTGGTCACTTGTGGTGAGGCAGCAGGGTTCTAACGCTAACCCGGTCCACATCTAGTTGTTGCGTACCACGCTCCTGAGAGCTTTCTGTGGATGGGTTTTACCCACGCAACATCACTGAACGGACGAGGACGCTGAGCGAGAGGGTACGGGACTTGCCCAAGGTCACAGGACCCAGTGGGGTTTGAACCGAGGCAGCCTGGTTTGAGACTATGCTCTGGATCGCGATGGTCCGCTGCCTCTTGACCTTGTAAGTGACTGTTGTGCACGCTTTTCTGTATTTCCACATTTTCTTAAGTAGGAAGGAAAACATTAAGAGCTATTCTCATTTAAAAGGAGAGAGAGGAAAGCAGTTAGCCAAGCTGTTCCTCCTGGAGGACAGGAGATGCCATCTCCTGATCCTGTACCCGAGGAGCCTTCGGGGTCTCCGGGGCGGCCCGTCCCTCACCTTGCAGATGCGGGCGATGCGGGACACGATGGTGTTCTCGAAAAACTCAAACTCCTGGCCAGTCTCGCTGAAGAAGAAGTAGATCTTGTCATCGTCCCCTTGCAAACTGCCCAGGCTCTCGGGAACGTAGGCTGAGGCCACAAACGCTGGGTCTGGGGGCCGACGGGGAGCACGGAGTCAGCCCGGGCATCCCGGACAGGCGGGAGAGTGTTCTCGGCCCTGCAGGGAGAGCGCGCCCCTCCCTGGGCTCCGGGGACTGCCCACCGGGTGCCTGGGGAGGACTTCACCTTGGAGCCAGTTGAGGGAGCTCTCGGTCTTGGTCGGGCGGAGGCTCTGGCTCCGGGAGATGGCCGGGTCATTGCCTTGGAAGCTGCTGACTGTTCCAGTGTACAGCTCACCGTCTGCCAAGAGAATGTTCCCATGGGAATGGCCCCCCCCGGCACGGCCCCTTCCGCCGGCTCAGGGCCCGGAGTGACCCCAGCACTGCCCACCGCGCCTGAGGTGGACAGGGAATAGAGCGGCAACTGGGAACAGCCAAAGCAAGGGCAGCCAAGGGTCGCCCCGTGCCCCCTGGGAATCAGCATGGCGTGAACCCACCAGCTCAGGCCTGGGGGCCACCGCCCCGCACATGGAGCCTCAGCGAGCCCATCCTGCCACTCTGCCCCCAACACTCACCGACCACCAGGGCCGTAGACTTGAAATTGGGGTCAAAGGGACATCGGCCCTTGCCATCTTCCAGGAGGACGTTCCCCGCCTCGTCCTGTGCCAGAGTGAAGTTCTCCACACTCTGCAGGGAAGCAGACAGGAGAGCTCAGGGGCTCGCCAAGGAGCCCGCGGCCCTGGAGGGAAAGGAGGGAGATGTGCCCCAGAAGGCAGCTCTGTGGGGGGAGAGGTGGGAGGCAGACCACCCTCATCTCTGCACCGGGGGCACAGTGCTGGCACCGCCTGGCAGTGGCCCTGTGTGGTGGGCCCTACCGGCCCCAGGGGCCACAGAGGAGACTAGACGGGACTCGAAGGGGCAGCAATGCGATTCACACCCGGGCATGTCTGCCTCCCGTGCTGCAACCCGCTGCCTCAAAGTGCCGCCCTCCGCCACAGGCGGGTGAAAAGCAGAAACGCAAGAGTGTGTGCGAGGCGGGGTGCACGAGGTGGGCTCCGGAGGTGAGTGAGGGCAGGGGACGGCTAGAGGAAGCAAGGGGTGGTGTCCTGGGTCAGCCAGGGTGTTCACAGGCACCCCTCCTTCCCCCTGCAGGCCAGCCCGGCCACCAGATGTGGGGCGGGGCCTCAGGGCTCTCAGAGCCCACTGTTCCCTAGAAGCTTGGCCCTGGGTCCTGCCCTTGACCAGGGATCGGTGCTGGAGAACGGCTCCTGGCGCGGAGGGGGACACTCACGATGTAGGTGCACACGGGGCTGAAGGCTGCTGTGCCGCAGGTGAACAGGTGGCTGCTGTTGAGCGGAAGGAGGATCTTGACGTAGTTTTGACAGTCGCGCTGGGGGAGGAGGGAGGAGGTTGTCAGGCCCAAGCATGCCACCAGGGGGCACCGCCAGGCCCTCACCACCAGTTGGTGGGGGCGGGGGCGTGGTGGGTAAAGCCTCTGCTCTCGGGTGCTCCTCAAATCCCAGAGCAAAAGAGAACCCAGCAAGCAGCCTCCCAGGGCAGGGTAGACTGAGGACCACGGACAGTGTGCACTGGAGGGGAACCCAGGGGCTCCACTAGATCTGTGTTCCGGAAACTTCTCTCCAGCCTGAGAGTGAAGGCACAGGATCCCTCCCTCTTGCGCTGTCTTGGCCCCTGAGGGTCTTCTTTGGAACCTCGGGGAAAACCTCTGGTCCTCCCCACCACCTCGTGAGGAAGCCACAGCCCCGAGCAGGACCCTGGACCCCAGACTGATGGATTGCCTCTGTAAGGGTGTCTGACGGGTGTCTCCGACCAAGCATCCTGTCGTTCCCCCAAAACTTCCTCCTCTCAGACCTCTCCCCCTCAGCTGTTCAGGCTCCAAAGTTCACGGCCGTCAGCCCCCACTCATCCCTCACACCTCCCATTTCCCCACGAGGAAATCCTGGTGGGTCCATCTTCAAAATACATCCAAAATTTGACCACTGTTCACTCCCTTTACTGGTACCACCCCGGTCTGGTCTCCCTCCCTCTGCCCCTGCCCCAAGGAGACCACTCTCCACCATGGCAGCCAGAGGGACTCTTCCCTTCTTTTTTTTTTTTTTTTTTTAAAGTTTATTTACTTTGAGAGAGAGGGAGAGAGAGCAGGGGAGGGGCACAGGAAGGGAGAGAGAGTCCCAAGCAGGCTCTGCACTGACCACGCGGAGCGTGACACGGGGTTCGGTCCCATGAACCGTGAGATCGTGACCGGAGCCGAAACCAAGAGTCGGACGCTTAACCAACTGAGCCGCTCAGGTGCCCCCAGAGCAACCCTTTCAAAACAGATGCCACCATGTCACTCCCCTGCCCAGCCCTTTGGTGGCTCCCCAAACACCTCGCTCAGAGCAAGTCCAGTCCTGCCCCTTCTCCAGGAATCCCACAGCTAACTCCCTCAGCACTGTCCAGTCCTGATGCAAATGTCCCTTTCTTGATGAGCTGTGGCCTGACTACCTGTTCAAGCGGCTCACTTTTGCCTGTTCTTTCTTCTTTTTCACTGTTACATTGCCAGCGTCTGAAAGTACTTGGGCACAGGGGCGCCTGGGTGGTGCAGTCTGTTAAATGTCCGACTCTTGATTTCGGCTCAGGTTGTGATCTCAGCTCGTGAGTTCGAGTCCCACATCAGGCTCTGTGCTGACAGCGCGGGACCTGATTCTGATTCCCTCTCTCTCCCTCTCTCTCTCTGCCACTCCCCCGCTCATGCTCATTCTCTCTCGAAATAAATAAATAAATTTAAAAAAGAAAAAAAGGGGGGGCCACCGGGGTGGCTCAGTCAGCTGAACATCCGACTTGGGCCCAGGTCATGATCTTGTCATTCTCCAGTTTGAGCCCCGCGTGGGGCTCTGTGCTGACCGCTCAGAGCCTGGAGCCTGCTTCGGATTCTGTCTCTCTCTCTCTCTCTCTCTCCCTCAAAAATAAACATTAAAAAAACTTTTTTTTGAACAAAAAAAAAGTACTCGGGCATGGACCAAGTGCTTAATAAGTAAATGTTTGTCAAATAAAAGAAGTCACGGGCAGTCAGGATTTGAACTTGTGTCTGAACTCCACTCTGGTGCTCTCTCCCCTTCACCTTAGCCACCCTCTGCTGCACGCAGGGTAGGGAGGTCTCTGGGAATAGTGGGGAACCCTCCAGGAGAACGCCCAGGCTGGACCAGACCCCATACGCAGTGGTCTGGCCAAAACCCCACCAGGATCTGTCAGCTCTGCTCCATCACGCCACCTGTGGGGGGACAGGACTCCCACCCCACCCAATCGTTGCTCTCGCTGGAAGCTGACATTTATTTGGCACTGATCAGGTGCCAGGTGCCTCGTATGTATCAGCTAGCTGAATCCTCACAGCAAGACCTGAGATAGGTAGGCGTCACTAGCCCCACTTTACAGGTGGAGACACTAAGGCTCAGAGAGGCAAATCTCCTCATTCAAGGTCACGGAGATAACAAGGACAGGGCCAAACCCAGGTGCGGCCGCTTCGGAAGCCGACGCTCTTTCTATCGCAGCGGCTCCCACATCCTCCCTCCGTGCCGGGTCCAGTGCACCTCTCCAGCCTTCCTTCAGCCCAGGTGGCCTCCAGGTACAAGCTCACCTGTGGGTCCTTGCCCTTGAAGCTGCACTGCTGTTTCCTGTCTGCATCTGCGCTCCACAGCAGCTGCAGGAAGAAAGAAGGGGAGTGTGGGAGGGGGAGTGGAGGATGTACGTGCCCAGCACCACCACCCCCCCCCCCCCCCCGTCTGCATCGTCTTCACACCCAGAGGGTCAGTTTTTCTGTTTTCCCCTCTGCCACCCTCTGCCCAGCCTGGCCAGCCCCCGGCATCATCTCACCTCCTGGTACTCCCCGCCTGGCAGGAAGCTGGAACTACTGTTGAGAGCAAAGAGAGCCTCTCGGGCACCCACGTACAGAGTCCTGCCATCCCTGCTCAGCAGAAGGGCCGTGTAGTTGGAAATGTTTTCAGCTTCAAATCTGAGGAATGGCCGCTTTTCAGAACCTGGGAGAGGAAGACAGACATAAACCTGGGGGCCACACCTCCCACGAGAAACCTCTTCTGCCAACCTCTAGGACGGGCCGATCTGAAGGTGAGTGAGCAAGGCAGCACACGGCAAGGGGCTGGGGACAGGGGGTCAGGCTTAAGGGGGAACGCCATTCCTGGACTCTCCAACATTATATAAGAAACAAAGGCACGGAGATGAATGTAAAAGAACATTTATCATGGCACTGTCCCTATGAATGAAAAATTGGAAACAACCTAAGTGTCCAACCACAGGGGATTAGATGAAAACATATCACTATTAATACTCCACTCAATGGACTATTACGTAGCTGGGAAAAAATGATGTCGTGTTAGAAACACCAGGAAAACAAGCAAACAGAAGCATACAAAAAAATCCAGGGTCAGATAGGAACAAACGAAGATAGAGCACGTAACAGAACAAAAGAGAGGGAAGGAGGTTGAACACCCGCCTTTGAGTGGCATCACACCCAAGGAGAAGGATCTACAGGGCACAGCCCACCCCTACCCCTGCAGCGAACCCGCCCCCTGCCCCTGCAGCGAGCCTCATTTAAAATGGCAGAGGGATGCAAACATGGGGCACCGGTCTTTACCTCTTTGCTCCCACTCAGTCACTCGTGGAAGATTCGGGATTTTAAATTTTTTTTTTTTTCAACGTTTATTTATTTTGGGGACAGAGAGAGACAGAGCATGAACGGGGGAGGGGCAGAGAGAGAGGGAGACACAGAATCGGAAACAGGCTCCAGGCTCCGAGCCATCAGCCCAGAGCCCGACGCGGGGCTCGAACTCACGGAGCGCGAGATCGTGACCTGGCTGAAGTCGGACGCTTAACCGACTGCGCCACCCAGGCGCCCCAGATTCGGGATTTTAAATAGAATGTAAATTGTCACTGACCCTGACCTCGGGAACTTGAGTGAACAATAGACACACGGTGATGCTGGCTGCCAGGGGAGTTAAGGGAAAAGTGGAGTCTCTATCTTCTTCTGAGAACGAAGAGGGCCGCAAGATAATGCCAGTGGTTAATGCAACAAGAAACCGAGGCTCAAGTATAAAATTTTTCGGGGCGCCTGGGTGGCTCAGTCGGTTGAGTGTCTGACTTTGGCTCAGGTCATGATCTCGTGGCTTGTGAGTTCAAGCCCCCACGTGGGGGCTCTGTGCAGACAGCTCCAGAGCCTGGAGCCTGCTTCGGATTCTGTCTCTGTCTCTCTCTGCCCCTCCCCCACTCATGCACTGTCTGTCCGTCTCTCAAATATAAAAAACAGTAAACAATTTTTTAATATAAAATTTTTCTTTAGGTTTATTACTTTTTTAGTAACCTCTACCCCCAATGTGGGGCTCGAACTCACGGCCCTGAGATCACGGGCCGACTGAGCCAGCCGGACACCCCGAAGTATGAGATTTTAAATTACAGAAGTAACCCAATACGGTGGTAGAAAAACAGAGGAGGTGAAGGGTAATGGGATAGAGAAGGCCTTATTTTTCTCAGCAGCCAATCAGTAAATTAGACAAGCCAAGAAATAGTGGTGTAAGGCACTTCACCACGTGGAGGAAACCACTGTATTAACAAAAGGTCTAAATGACGAAAAGGTGTCCCTTTCCCCAGGCCTGGGGCTGGGGAGGACGGAGGCATTTGCTGCTTTTCACGGTAAGTACGTCCCATACTTAAAAACAAATTATGTGCACATGTCCTGGATATAAACTTTAACTCTTTTTCATTGTTATAAAGTATGCAACACAAGGAAAGATTCTAATGATCTCCCACCAAGGGAAGACGAAGGTTATAGAATAGTATGCCTAGTTAGATCCCTTTTTTTTGTGTGTGTGGGAAAAATATAAACAGAAAAAAAAAAAAAAATCCAGAAGGATGAACCACACAGGGTGCTGAAAACTGGTATCCCTGGTGGGAGTATAGGTGATTTTCTTTTCCTTTTTCCTTCTCATTTTTTGGATTCTACAACAAGCCGGTTCCTCTTGTGTAATGGGAAAGAGATAGAAGAAAAAGAAAGAAACACACATACCTATCCAACCAGGGTACCGTTTGTGCTTCGAGTGACTCATGGATTTGAAGAGAAATTATTCTAAAAATTCTAAGCAACTGATAAGAAAAGAAAAACAGGCAGAACTCAGCCACCCTGCCCAAGCTCAGGTATCTCCTAACTGACCAGTCGGTTATGACCACGCATGCAAATATAGTCTCGTGAAGCTGAGGAAGCAAAAAATGCAACATGCCAACAAAGCAGTTGTGAAGATGGCTTCACGTGCTTTCACGTGGTGAGTGTTTTTACATACCCCCGGCCTGGCTCCACAAAGGGCAAGAAAATAAAGAAAAGGACACAGTGAAACAGAAACACTAAAATCAGGAGTAGGGAGAACACACACATCTGAAGAAAACATCTAAGCCAGAAAGTAAGGGCATAGTCACATAAGCAGGTCCTGAGAGATCTTCACAACAGCTACTAGGGATGGGGTGCCCATTTAAGGCTGAGCCTCCTGGTGGCCAGGGAGAAAAGGGAAATGAAGTTACCTTGTTCTCACTATCCAAGAGGAGGTACACATAGCAGCCTTTCTGGAGAAACTAAGCTTTCTGCCTCACTACTAATGCTAAAGGAAACCCTCAGGTGGGACGTTCCAGCAAAGCTCATGGGACACGGGATGGATAGCAGCCCGCCAGCAAACGGGATGACGGAGTTCCCAAGGCTGCTCCTCACAATGGCTCCTGGTGAGGGAAGGTGATGACGCAAGGTGGCCAGTGCAGGAACGTGTGTGGCTCTGCAGCTAGGAGTCTTGTCATACAGCAGAGTCTAAACTGGGGCGGCACTGGGAATTCACGGGGTAAGTCCTGCCTCACGTCTGGTGTCCAAACTCTGGCACTGAGACCGCAGGACAGCTATGGTCCGGAGAGGTCAGGGCCTCTCTTTGAACTCTTAAGTCCAGAATCGCCTGAGACTCTAGGTTTTTTGCCTCAAATGCCCAACTCCTCATCACTTACCAGCACTCTACACACTGGGAGACCCAAAGAAAGTTTCTAGTCCTAATCCCCCAGTTCTCCCAACCATGAAATTTCCAAACGCAACAGGGTCCAATCATGTGGCTTGTATTGTGCGGTGATGAGCCTTTAGGAGCCTGACATTTCCACGCTCTGCTCCTAGGAAGTCACGCCGGTAAAGGGACCCCTCCCACTGGCCAGCAGAGGCCTGCTCCCACTCCCAGGAGGGTGCAGAGTCGCCCAGGTCTGACCTCCAGGTCCAGACCTGCCCCAGAGGTGCTGCCGCCACTGACCTGGGATGGCCTGAGAACGTGCATTTACGAATCGACTCCCAAAGACCATGAAGGATACCACGTAGGTCCCCTGTCAGGCGGCGTAGGCGGCCTGACCTTTAGCGGTCCCCTACGTTTCATGGGGATAACAAAGAAAATACAACCCCCGGCGGTCTCACGAGGAGTCAGAGAGTCGAGGGCAAACATCTTCCACGTCCCCTTCATGGTTTTCTGAAAGCAAGGGCTGGCTCAAATTTGCCAACGCTTATCTGCCCTCCCAGGAGGCTCGTTTCCCGCGGGCGGGGCCTGGAAGTCTACGCAGGAGGCTGCGCTTGGAATCCGTCCAGAAACAAAGACACCAAAGGTCAGAGATAAGGTTGCCGTCCAGGTGGCAGCTCGGCCCCGCTCCGGCCTGGAAGGGAGAGGAAATCTGCCAAGGGTCACGTAGACAGAGCGCAGCCAGGTCGGAAGGACAGCCAGGGCGCCAGCTGCTCGAGGACCCACCGGGCTGCACCTCCAGTCATGTGAGGAACACGGTCATGGAAATGGCAGACAGAAAATGCCTTGACATGTGGGTGAGGGGCCCCCTATACTATCCATTCCCCTTCTGGGCATTCTCCTCCTTCGTCCCCCGCCCTGAGCCTCTCACACTCCAAGTCATGGCGTCCTGAAGGCCTTGCTTTCTGACGACCTCCCACTTGCCCTGTGGACTTCGCCAGGGCTAGTCAGTGGGGCTGCCTCCCCAACTGGGAGCCTCGACGAGACAGAGATGAAGAGGACAGACTCAGGGGCGCCTGGGTGTCTCAGTCAGTTAAGCGCCCAACTTCGGCTCAGGTCATGATCTCACGGTTTGTGGTTTTAAGCCCCACGTCAGGCCCTGTACTTCCAGCTCGGAGCCTGGAGTCTGCTTCCGATTCTGGGTCTCCCTGTCTCTGCCCCTCCCCTGCTTGTGCTCTTTGTCTCTCTCTTGAAAATAAATAAAACGCTGGGGGGCCGGTTATATTATGAAGGCCAGATTCTTGCCACAAATAGTGTAGTTTTAGCTACAGACTAAAGTCTGCTCTAGTATTAGTAAGGGATATTATTTTAATTTAGGGGAAAAAAATTAAAAAGAGAAAAATAAATAAATAAAACATTTCTGGGGCGCCTGGGCGGCTCAGTCAGTTGAGCGTCCGACTTCGGCTCAGGTCACGATCTCATGGTTCATGGGTTCGAGCCCCGTGTCGGGCTCTGTGCTGACAGCTCGGAGCCTGGAGCCTCCTTCGGATTCTGTGTCTCCCTCTCTCTCTGCCCCTCCCCCGCTCACACTCTGTCGCTCTCAAAAATAAAGAAAAACTTTTTTTTTTAATTGAAAAAAGAAAAAAAAAAAGTACAGACTCAGGACTCAGAGACCTGGGTGCCAATACTGCTCCTGTCACATAGGAGCCACCTGCCACCAGGACAAGCCACTTAACATCTTGGAGCCTCACTTTCCTTATCTGGAGAATGGGGATAATAACCCCTTTCCTCATAGGGTTGTTACGAAAAGAAAGGAGACCGTGTGTGTAAATAAATAACAGACATAATAACCCACGTCTACCGAGAGCTTTACTCAGAACAGCCCTGCACACGTTAGCCGAGTGTTGGCACGGCGTCTGGCACGCGATCAACACCTGAGTGGGTCAAAACCAGAATCCAAAAGCCCTGCAGGAAAATCCAGCCCAGCAAGAGCTGCCAGAGGA